GCGAGCCCAGCATCACCATTATCCCCTGGGAGTTATGAGGACTAGTTTTAGCGGGACAATCTCACATTAATCAGGTATGCGTCGGGCCGGGGGTCTGGGAAAGGGAAAAAGGGGAGGGGGGTGAGGAGGCATTTCCCCGCATTCTTTGCAACGGCCGTCGTCGCCACCCTTCGGAGCAAAAAACAAAAAAAAAAAAGAACAAGACGTCCCCCACCCTGCGGGGCCCCTTTGAGAAATTAATCGTCGATCGCATCGGTCCCGCGCCGCCATGCGAAAAACTGTGGTCAGCGCGACGAATGGTTGCCTGTGGCCTGTGGTACGGTGTATTGGTCCTGTACCTAGGTGCGGCTCGCTGTGCCGCTGGGGCCACTCCCCTCACTCAGACCCCGAGAGGCTCTGGGTCAAGGGCGCCGCCGGCATCGCGCACCGCATCGCGCACCGCATCGCGCACCGCGTGCCCGTGACGACGGTCGCGCACGCCGCCTCTCGGCCCTCCCGCGCGGACGCGCCCGTCCAAGGGGTACCCAACTCAAGATAATCATTGCACGTCTAGTTGGTAATCAGTGAAGTAATCAACATCATCCAATGAAATGACAATCATACTTTCGGGGATTCAATCACTTTTGACCATTTTTGCGAGACCACTGCTCCCAAACGATCAGCGGTCAAAGCCTTCCCGAGGCGGGGCATGAAAGAGTACACTCTCATTCAGGGGTGTTCTAAAACTTGACGCCTTTAGTCGCTTGCCTTAGGTTTTGTACCACCTTGAGTCGCCTCACCACGTAACGCCAAAAGGCGCCTCAAAACAAAGCGCCTAAGGCGCTCTCTTTTGAAACACCTTGGGCTCAAACCACTGCATGAGATAGCAATGCATGGCTGCTTAGGCTCACTTGCAAAGGTGCGTCCCATGTAAACACCTTTCACTTTGATTTTACTAGTGGGGGTGCGCCCAGGCCAAACACCCCTGCTGCACTATGGATGCAGCGCAAGGTGTATGCTGGCCATACACCTTGCGCTTTCTTTGCATGGCAGTGGACAAGGTGCGTGGAGTCTAAACACCTTCAGCCTAGGCTGAAGTAGGCGCAAAGGTGTGTGGTCTGCAAACACCTTTATGACCTACCGCATTTGTGCTGACTGGGGTGCGCTCTGGGCAAACACCTTTTGTCATCATTGGGAGAAATACCTGTGTACTTTGGTAGATGTTGAAGTTTCGACTGCTTCCGCTGCATTCTTGGTAGTGACTGTTAGTACTTCAAACCAAACCCGACTAAATACCCTTACAGTCATGTTTACCTACTACATGTACTTCAGAAGTTGACCTGAAGAAATTAATCACAAGGATGTTGTTAGGTGTTGATATCCAATAATAAATAGAGTATTCCATTATGTTGCTTGCTTTCTGTACATCATGGTGAGGTTCAACTGTTGATGTAAACTTGCATTGTAGTCACTGTTTTCAATTTCACACGAGGACAGAATGATGTTTGAATAAAAACATAACATAAACAACGATAAATGATCCGGTTGGGGAATGTCCATGTCACACGATTAATGTAAAGCCATAAATTTGATAAAGTAATTACTGCAACACCAACCGTAACGACGGCCATTTCCAAAAACTCGCCTCTCCAAAACGCTGTGAGTGCAGATTCAGATTCGAGTCAGGTATGAAAAACTCGGACTAGCCTCGCACACTCCAGAGACGGCCAACAATCAAAACCAAGGCCAGTCTTGTATGAAAAATTTAGACAAGCCTATAGTTTGTTTGTTGGCCGTCTCTGCAGTGCGCACATTTTCATCATCGAGGCTAGTCTGAGTTTTTCATGACTCGAATCTGAATCTGCACTCACAGCGTTTCGGAGAGGAGAGTTTTTGGAAATGGCCGTCTTTACGTTTGGTGTTGCAGTAATTACTTTATCAAATTTATGGCTTTACATGAATCGTGTGACAAGGACATTCCCCAACCAGATCATTTATCGTTGTTTATGTTATAGTTTTATTCAAACATCATTCAGTCCTCGTGTGAAAGTGAAAACAGTGACTACAATGCAAGTTTACATTAACATTTGAACCTCACCATGATGTACAGAAAGCAAGCAACATAATGGAATACTCTATTTATTATTGGATATCAACACCTAACAACATCCTTGTGATTAATTTCTTCAGGTCAACTTCTGAAGTACATGTAGTAGGTAAACATGACTGTAAGGGTATTTAGTCGGGTTTGGTTTGAAGTACTAACAGTCACTACCAAGAATGCAGCGGAAGCAGTCGAAACTTCAACATCTACCAAAGTACACAGGTATTTCTCCCAATGATGACAAAAGGTGTTTGCCCAGAGCGCACCCCAGTCAGCACAAATGCGGTAGGTCATAAAGGTGTTTGCAGACCACACACCTTTGCGCCTACTTCAGCCTAGGCTGAAGGTGTTTAGACTCCACGCACCTTGTCCACTGCCATGCAAAGAAAGCGCAAGGTGTATGGCCAGCATACACCTTGCGCTGCATCCATAGTGCAGCAGGGGTGTTTGGCCTGGGCGCACCCCCACTAGTAAAATCAAAGTGAAAGGTGTTTACATGGGACGCACCTTTGCAAGTGAGCCTAAGCAGCCATGCATTGCTATCTCAGGCAGTGGTTTGGGCCCAAGGTGTTTCAAAAGAAAGCGCCTAAGGCGCTTTGTTTTGAGGCGCCTTTTGGCGTTATGTGGTGAGGCGACTCAAGGTGGTACAAAACCTAAGGCAAGCGACTAAAGGCGTCAAGTTTTAGAACACCCCTGAATGAGAGTGTAGGGTCTTCAGAATAGTAAGGCGTCGAGGAAGGTCTTTGACCGCGACTAAATTGGATGCAGTGACCGCTCAAAGTCAGCAAAAACGGTAGCTTTCTGAAATTCATTCACTGTTTGACTATTTTTGCGAGGCCACTGCTCCCAAATTATCAGCGGTCAAAGCCTTCCCGAGGCGGGGCATGAAAAAGTAGGGTCTTCAGAATAGCAAGGCGTCGAGGAAGGCCTATGACCGCAACTTAATTTGACGCAGTGGCTGCCCAAAGTCACCAATATTGAATTTCCGACACACTTAAACAGCTTTCCGAGGTCGGCGCTCAAATAATCCCCAATATTTCCCAATAATCAACATAATAACCTCCCATAATCAAATAATAAAATAATCAAAAGAAATCACATGTAATCGTACTCTAAATATAATCAGTGTACATGAAAATCTTGAGTTGGTTACGACCCCTGGCGCCCGTCCCCCTGTCTCTCCCGGAGCCCTCCGAGGAGATGCCCCACGGGGTGCCCTACGAGAGAGACGGAGCGCGACGACCGTCCCGCTCGGCCCGGCCGATCGGTGGTGGTTTTCGGCCCGTAATTAAAGCAAGCCGCTATACGCGCCGCGCCGCGCCGCGCCCCGCCGCGCCCCGCCACACCACGCCGCAGCGACCGGGACTGGCTGGAAGGCGAGAGGGAGAGTTTAGTATTGTTTGCATGAGGGGGAATTTCAGGCTATTAAATTAAGGGGGACGGCCGCACCTTCAGATCCCCCCTGCCCCCTGCCCCTCCCCCTTTCCCTTCGGCCGTCGGCCGTCTGGCCGCGCGGACCCTAACCTGGATTTGGAGTGCCAAGAGCGGCCCAGAGTAACGCGTCCGCCCGGCCGGCGGGGCGGCGGGGGTTGGCGGGCCGCGGGGCAACCCTCGTTGGCGGCATCCCGGACACCGGCCCCGAGTCCCTCAGCCCTTCCCTTCGCGTGGCCACCCGGCCGGCGTTGGTGCGGCTTGTTGTCACCCACAGTGCACGTCCTCGTCCTCGGGGCCCACCCTGGCCCACCCCGCCACGGGGGCCGGCAGGCCGTTTGTCTTTTGTCTTCGTTTTTCCAGCCCTCGGCCACGGCCTCCACGGCCTCCACGGCCTCCACGGCCGCCACGGCTGAGTAACGGCGGGATCCCTTTTTACCGGAAAACCTGTCAGGCTTTTGCGCGGCCGAGCCTCTAAGAGAAAGCCTACCGCGCGCTGCAGTTTGTTGTGCACACTGTGCGCGCGTGTGTGTGTGTGTGTGTGTGTGTGAGCCTGTGTGTGCGCCGAGTATATTGTCATCCCGTGCAGTACACCATGCTGGTGCCCCGCGTTTGTGTGTGCGTGCGTGTGTGTGTGTGTGCATTTGTGTGTGAGGTGCGAGCGTGGCGAGGTGGTTGCCCCGAGCACGACCAACAACAAGCGTGGGGCGCCGCTTGTCACCGCGCTTCATGCAACACGCTCAGTCCGTCCGCGGCGTTCCCGCGGCGCACCGACCGCCACACCCAAGGCCCCCCCCCCCCCACGACGCGGAGAGTGAAGGGAGAAAGGGATCCGGAAGAGAAGAAAGTCCGAGCCCCCCTCCCCCCGCCGGCCGCACCTCGCTGATAGCGCCTCCACACAAACTCTATGATTGAGCAGCCCCCTCCATCGACTGGACTCCCCCCCTCTCTTGTTCTGCACACGCACGAATAACAGTATCTGTACCACGGGGGCCGACGGGCCCCTCGGGCCTGGCTGGGAGCGGCAGCAGGAGCGGCCGTGCTGCGGGGGGCACTGCGGGGCCTTGTGGGCCAGTGGTGCGCCGCCTGCGCCGGCCAGACAGGTTGGCTGCGGAGTCTGGGTCACAGGCGTTCCGGAGGCGTTCCCCAGTCTGTGAGTGGAGCGGGGCGGGGAGGGGAACGGTAAGGGGGGGGGGGGAGTGGCGGCCGGTCCTGCCTTACCAGGACTTAGCAGGCCTGTCCCTCCAGCCTCCTCGGCCCGTTGTGGCTCGGCTCGGCTCGACTCGACTCAACAGGTGGTGGGGGTCTTTGCGGCCTCTGCGGCCCTACCCTCTGCCGGGCCGTGGCCGGGCCGTGCCTTCCCCGGTCCTTCCCCGCCGGTGGCTGGCTCACCCCGCCCCAACCCGCTCCACCCCGCCGAGCTTCGGCCTGGCGTCCTGGCCGGCCCAGCCCCTCGCGGAGATCATCACTTCACTTCCAAGCCGTCAACGGCAAGGTGCAGTTCGTGCAGTTTCGGCCGTCCGCCCGGCGAGCCCGCGTCGCGTGCCTGTGTGTGACAGTGTGTGTGTGCCAGTGCCGCGACAGTGCCGCAAGAGAGCCGCTGCCCCCGCAGCCCTTGGACTAACCGACAGACAGGTGCGTGCCTTTCCCTCCGCCCTTTCCCCCTTATCCTGACAGTGTGGCCGCGCTTCGGAGCACGCCGACGGCGGCGTGTGCCGGCCCGGAAGTTCGGCACATCGGCCGGGCTGCGAGATGGGCTTAACGTGAACCCGACCGCGCAGCGTCTTCTCCAAGTGCGTGGACTCGGCGGCCGGGCCGCGCCGTCGTCCCGGTCGCGGCTCGTCCCGGACCGTCCCGGACCGTCCCGGACCGTCCCGGACCGTCCCGGACCCCTCGCGGCGGCGTGGCGGCGCATTAGTCAGTGACCCAGTGCCGGCGAGGCGCGTGCGCTGTGTTAACGGTACTGCATGACACCTGTGGCGCCGGTGCGGCCGGTGCGGCCGGTACCACGTGGGAACCGGCAGGGCGCGGCAGGCCGGCCGGTGGCGGTGCGGCCGGGCGCGTCCAAGGCGCTGGCCAAGGCCGAGTGGAGCTGGATGGGTTTACTGCACCAGGGCACTCACGACTCACGGCGAGGCGTCGAGGCGGCGCGGCCGTCGTACAGTGGACTCGCAAACACCGCGGGCCGGGCCGCCATTCATTGGAAAAGTGTTCGCGGGACACCCTGCCCCCCCCCCCCCCCCCGCCTCGCCCCGCCACGCCACGCCCGGCCCCCTAGGAGGAGTACAGTGTGTGTTTTTGACCGCAGAGGGGCCCGCTGGCGGCGGGGCCGTCGCCGCGGAGTAGGTCATCCTCGTCGACTATGGGACGCGCTGTGGTTTTTTTTCTATCTTCTTTTCCTGGGGCCGAATAATTATCACTTGAGGTCAGGCAGGACCTCGGGCACGGGGCGGGCCACGGGGCGGGCCACGCGGTGGTCCCTAGTCGCGGCGTCGCGGCCAGGACGAGGGACTCTGGCTTGCGGTACCGGGGTTCCTGGTGACGTCGACTCACTCCCGCGTCCAAGTCTCCAGCCGCCAGACCGCCGGGCCGCCGGGACTCGCGACGCGACGCGACTCCGCGACCGGCGGCCGTGTCATGTCAATCCAGGGGACGACGCCCCGATCCAGACGTCGAGGCGACCAACACCAAGTTTCTCCTGTTGCATTTGTTGCACTTGTTGCACTTGCGCTTCTTGCGCTTCTCGCACTCTCCGGCCGCGCCGTCATGGCGGTGTGAGAAATTGATGCGCACGTCTGCTCGGCCCCGCGATGCGCGATGCGCGGCCCGCGGACTAATACTGGGTCATTACGCCGCCGAGCGCACAGCCCAGCGCACCGCACCGTGCACGCCGTGCGCGGCGCCATCGGCCGCGGAAACCGAAAGGGAACCCAGAGGCGCCGCGGAGGGAAGGCAGTGGAAGGCAGTGGAAGGCAGTGGAAGGCAGTGGAAGGCAATGGAATGCGATGGTAGACAGTGGACGGCAGTGGAAGGCAGGCAGTGGAAGGCAGTGGAAGGCAGTGGAAGGCAGTGGAAGGCAGGCAGTGGAAGGCAGTGGAAGGCAGGCAGTGGAAGGCAGTGGAAGGCAGGCAGTGGAAGGCAGTGGAAGGCAGTGGAAGGCAGTGGAAGGCAGGCAGTGGAAGGCAGTGGAAGGCAATGGAATGCGATGGTAGACAGTGGAAGGCAGTGGAAGGCAATGGAAGGCAGTGGAAGGCAGTGGAAGGCAGTGGATGGCAGTGGAAGGCGCAGTGGAAGGCAATGGAATGCAATGCGGAGCCAGGCGGCGATTGATCCAATTAGCAGTGTGCGCGCCGCGCCGAGGGTGGCCCGCAGTGGCCCGTCGCTCCGTCTTACTCGCACTCCGCATGGGGCGTCCCGTGAGTGTGCAAGGGAGACGGAGCGACGGAGCCCCGTTCGGAAGCGACTGCTGCAGTCTACTTGGCGCGCCACCGCCCGCCAGGCCACCGCCCAGCTTGTTGCACTACTTGCTGCACTTGGCGCGCAGGCACGCTGGGCAGCGCGGCCACACGCTTTTCCTGCATTCTGTTTCTTCCTTGATGCTTACAGCAGACTGATACTCCGCTCGGTGCCGCACCTTCAGGGTTAGAATCGGTTAAAACTGTCATTTGTAGTCTTCAGTGTTGGATCCGTAGCCAAAGAGAAGTGTGCTAATACAAGCACAAGTTGTAGGCATTAATTTTAATTAACTCAATTTTCGGTTATGGGAATCATGTGAATTGTGAACATCTGGACCAAAGTCCTTTATACATACGAAGGTAGCACTAGCTTTGGATTCGATTAAGGGCCTTCTTCCTTTTTTCGGAGTGGTAATTAGCAACAGCCGAAGTGCAGTAATTGGCAGTTCTAACGATGGCCTTCTGATCGGCTAGCTTTTCGGACAACAACTCTGTTGGTGCGAGAGGGACAGAGCGGCAACAGGGATGTGCGGAATCAGTCGGCCGCCTCAGTCCGCCTGGCTCACGCACTGCTTCGCGCTTCGCGATGAATGGCGCATGGCGACACTACACTGCCGGTCATTATCGGGACACTCTCCGATCCGGTTCTCAGCCTGCCTCTCTCTCTCTCTCTCTCTCTCTCTCTCTCTCTCTCTCTCTCTCTCTCTCTCTCTCTCTCTCTCTCTCTCTCTCTTACTCCTCTCTCCCTTACTCCTCTCTCCCTCTCTCTCTTTCGCCAGCAAGTGGGTCAGCGGCGGCGCCCGCATCCTATCATATACCGACCTGTTCGCTCGCCGGGAATCACACTGTGAAAAGTTTCGTGTTCCTCCGGGCCAGGCCCGGCCAGCCCGGCGAGCCCGACCCAGCCCAGCCCAGCCCAGCCCGGCCCGGTGTGGAAAGTCGATCCCCAAAACAAATGAAGCGTCGTTCCGCCAATCTCTGCAGCCCGGCCCGCCCGCCCGGCCAGGCAGCCCAGCCCGAGTCCCCGGCGATAATAACACACACGCGCGAAGCTCGAAGCGCGGGGCTGCGCGAAACGGCAATTTTTCATAATTGTCGGTGGATCCCCGGACTCGCAATTAATCACGCCGCACCCCAAAGCAAAGCAAGGTGAAGCAACGCGAAGCAAGGCGAGGTAAGGCGAGGCAAGGCGAACCAAAGCGAAGTGAGGCGTAGCAAGGCGAAGCGAGGCCGGCGGCGCACAGTGGGCCAGAAGACCGGTGCAGGCGGCCAAAACTCTAGACGCGTTTTGAGCTCCAGAGTGGCTAAACAGGCCTCGAACCGAACGTGTGACCCACCAATGGATTCCTCGTTCGGAGAGCAATCCATTGGTGGGGTCACACGTTCGGTTCGAGGCCTGTTTAGCCACTCTGGAGCTCAAAACGCGTCTAAAGTTTTGGCCGCCTCCACCGGTCTTCTGGCCCAATGTGCGGCGGGGTGAAGTAAGGCGAACCAAGGCGAAGTGAGGCGAAGCAACGCGGGGCAAGGCGGGGCAAGGCGAAGTGAGGCGAGGCAAGGCGAGGCAAGGCGAGGCAAGGCGAGGCAAGGCAAAGCAGCGCGATGCGAAGCAAAGAGGGCTAATTACATGGATCGGCGAGGGATGGCCGGGATGGCGGGGCCGCGCTGCGTGCGGCGTGCTGCGTGCCGTGTTCTGTTCCAATTAGCCGACCGCTCGGTTGCCACTCAATTTCGAGTGGGGAACGGGACCGACTGGACGTGGCCGACGCGGCCGACGCACGGGGCAAGCGGCAGGGAAAGGAGGGGGCCCGGAGCGTCCTGCCATGCCGCCTCGGCCCCCCCCGCCCCGTCCCCGGCATCGCCGACGACAACAAGAACAACGCACCGCCACAGCGACATCGACCGCGTGGCGGGCGGCGGCGGGGCGGGGCGGGGCGGCCTTCCCGGATCGCGCGTCGCGCACCGCGCTCCAGTTCAAGTTGAAGGTCGCGGCCCCGGCGTGCGGCCGAGCGACTCCGAAGAGCGGTCTGGTCGCTCTGTCTCTCTCGCACTCCTGCGGCGCGTCCCATGAGCGTGACAGAGACCGAGCGACGGAACGAGTCTTCGCTCGGCGGGCACTACTGCCACTGCCCTGGCACTGCCGTCGCAGCCACGTGGGTCTTGGAGGAGTCCGGGAACGCCATCGGCGTGGTGCGACGGAAGTTTGAACGACTTTGTTCCGAGAAAATGCTTTGGCTATATTAACTGTAGGCAATAATCTTTTTACGTCTGAGCGCGTGAGAAACATTCGCAGTCATTTTGTCGTACTGTCGGAACGTGGATCGTTCGAATCTACAAGTGGACTGCCGTGACGTGAATAGGGCGCCGCGGAGTGTCTCAATCCAGTGCGAGTGTGGGAGCGAGTCAGTGTGTGTGCGAGAGAGAGAGAGAGAGAGAGAGAGAGAGAGAGAGAGAGAGAGAGATCGTGCACATGACCATACGGCAAACCGCAAATGCCCCCTGCCGCGACGAACCACTCCCGCACCGCTCCACCAATCCTAGAGACAATAATAATATGAGTGAGTGAGTGTCTGCGCCGCGCTGCGCTCGGGTTGCTGAGCTCCCTCGCCTCAAAGTGATTTATACTTGAATGAACAGGGCCTCTGCGGTGGCTTAGCCTTGTCGTCTCTATCTGGCCCCGCAGCCCCGCAGACCGGCTGGCCGACGCGGATGACGCGGCAGTCCTTGATTGAGGCGACTGCGTCCGACTGCGTCCGACTGCGTCCACGTGCCCCGGGAAAAGACTTATGAATTTTTGATCGCCCTGGAGTGAGCCTGGAGCGGGCCCGGAGTCTACCTCCGCACTTTTTCTCGCGTCGGACGCGTCCGTCCTGCGCTGTCACTGCCGAGCCGAGCCGAGCCGGTCGGGCCGAGCGAGCGCGAGCGACTTTTTCTTTTATTCAGTCATGAAATTTCATTGTGGCTGCCCTGCCGCGGAGGGAGATACCGCGAGTGACAGGCCTGCTGGCCCCTTTAAACTAAGTAGCACTCGCTGCTGCCTAGGGAGAAGGGGGGGGTCTAGGAGGGGGGGGGAGGTCTAATAAAACGCGAATTGAAATGTGTCTTTTTTTGGGCTGTTAACGGGGTGAAAAACGTGAGTGTAGCAAACAGAAATCTCTTGAAATGTGGAAAGTAGAAACCATA